TTCATAGTGACAAGTACTGGTCAAGGCATATTTTCTCAGACTTTGTCCAAGTGTATCAAAGAACATTTTAAAGCATTAAATTGGGTTCTTCACTTACTAGTAATGAAAATGCATAATTTTATTTATAACAAGTATAAAAACTTGTTCAGGATTGAAAGACTGAAAAAACTTGCAGAGAAATAAGGGAATAAAAGAGAACCAAGCATATCCATTACCTTGGGAAAATATTTCATCTGGAAGATCAATCCAAGCAATGACTTCTAAACACTGAATACTTAATTACATGCCAATAAGAATCAATATTGGAGCTAGTTCAGTGATAGGAAGACAATGTAAAATCCTTATCTTATATCCTAAATTAGAGAATATAAAAATACTACACAGCTATACATCCAATTTTATTTAATAAGTATATCATTAAAATTTTCTTAATATATCAGAAAAGATGAAAAGAAACAACATAGAAATATTTTCAGCTAAATAAAATCAGCGCTTCCACGACAAAAGCTAAAGATTCCCCCTTTATTTACCTACATTATTTTTTCTTCATGGAAAAAGTTGATATTCTAATTTAACCCCAAAGTGAATGCCGTGATTGGACAACAGAGACTTATTCATTGAACAGTTAAATTTAATTAATATGTGCCAGATACTGCTCTAAGCACTCTATGGATGTTAGCTCATTTAATCTTAAAACCATGTAATATGGTAAAAAACAAAAATAAAAAAACTAAAATTGCTACTTTTCTCCCCACCTCTTCATCCTACCCCATCATATACTGTCAGTAAAAGGACAGCAGAAGTCCAATGAAAAGAAATTTAACTTGGACTCAAAAGACTTGAGTTAGTTTCTGGCTCTATTTAACATTCTGTATGACCTTGAACAAGTTATTGAAACCAGAACTTCCCAATCCTGACTGATCATTGGAATTCGAGAGAGAGTGTTATTACAATTACAGATGCCTTGGACTTCACCCAATATTTTCTAATCCTAAATCTAAATATTTTCTATGTTTAGAGTAGAAGTTGAGAATCTGAATTTCCTTTGAAACTATACAGGTGATTCTGATAAGCAGTCACATTTGGGAACCAAATGGTATTATCCTTAATAGTATTATCCTTTAATCCCCTGATAGAAAAAGTATAGAAATATGTATTCCACAAGGGTTGTCGACATGAAGGGAAGAATTATGAAGACCTAAATTATCATAACCCCACTCTCTATACATTCTTATTAAAATTGTGTTTAGATACTCCAGATGACCCTTTTGTTGTAGGATTCATCTGGAATATCTAAGCCCAAACAAACATATCCAGAAGCATATCATACAGGTGAGTGTCATCTCCAGCACCTACTTTAAGCTTATCTCTCCAAGGCATGATATCAAAAATGAAGTGAGAAATTGAGGCAATGGTTCCACCAATAAAAGTGTTAAACAAAACAAACAACCGGGGACAGTGGCTTACACCTGTAATCCCAACACTTTGGGAGGCCAAGGCGAGTGGATCACGAGGTCAGAAGTTCGAGACCAGACTGGCCAAGATGGTGAAACCCCTTCTCTACTAAAAATACAAAAATTAGCTGGTTGTGGTGGCACACACCTGTAATCCCAGCTACTCAGGAGGCTGAGGCAAAAAAATCACTTGAACCAAGGAGGTGGAGGTTACAGTGAGCTGAGATCGTACCATTGCACTCCAGCCTGGACAACAGAGTGAGACTCTGTCTCAAAAACAAAAACAAAAACAAACAAACAAACTATCTTTACCTGAGTGTGCTGAAAATGTGTACAGCCTCCTAAAAAAGTTTCTGAGGTGACTATATCAGTTTTTTCCCCCACTTCAACCAAACATCACAATATAGTTTTTATTCATCCCCAAAATATTTTCTGAGTCCTTATTATGGACACTATGAAGGATACAAAAATTAATAAACCGAAGTGCCTGTCTTCAAGCTGGTAAAGACATAGCCATAAACATAAGAATTGTACTTTTCAGTTTTAAAAACAAGTTTGGCTGAATTTTGGAGATGCTGCAGGCAATCAATAATAAGCCAGAAATGCCCATATTATAAATACATTTTGGCATAACTGTCATATCAAGCTAGTGACCCTGGTATAAAGTATTAAATGAAACAATGTATTTGAGAATCTCAAGATATGAGTTTAGGTAAGCTACTTGTTTAGGTATGCTACTTGACAACTACAGAGTTTTTAAGTCTTTAAAAACTAGTCTCAGAGGGCTAGTCTTTCAGCACTCTCAGTCTATTTCTTTGAAAAATTTGTATCTCACAAAATTGTGAAAACAAAGTAAAATAGTACAAATGTTAAGGTGTCATGGATTTTTTTTTTCTTTTCTGAGACATGGTTTCATTCTGTTGCCCAGGCTGTAGTGCAGTGTAATGATCAGGGGCACCATAGCCTCGACCTCCTGGGCTCAAGGGACCCTCCCACCTCAGCCTCCTGAGTAACTGGGACCACAGGTGAGTGCCACTATGCCTGCCTAGCTTTTTGTGTGTGGGTGTGCTTTTAAATTTTTTTTGTAGAGATGAAGACTCTCTCTGTTGCCCAGGCTGGCCTTGAACTCCTGGGTTCAAGCGATCCTCATGCCTCAACCTCCCAGAGTGCTGGGATTACAGGTGTGAGCCACCACACCCAGTCAAGGTGTCATTTTATAGATAATGTTTATAACTTTAATAAATAATAAAACATGACTTTGAGTTGATTTTTCACCAATGATGACAAATGGCTATTAACTAATTACCTTTTTATCTGGCCCTAAAACACAAAGAAGGCTCATTTGTCATTGTCATTACCAGATGTATCATTAATACATATTATATAATAATTTGATAAATTGGTATATAAGCAAGTATATAAAAATAAATATGCACATTATGTAGCCAATATATTTAAATGTTTACATTATGCATATACCTTTCTAAAGAGAAATACTGAAGTCACCAACTTAATGGAAAAAATTTCCATCTACTTTAGGGATAGACATTGGACAAAACTTCACAAGACTATATTTCATTACATGTTTCTGATTAAACAGTAATGAGAATGACAGAGTCTCACAGGAATGGTCACTATAATTGTGTCAAACATTTAACTGTATATAAATTCTATAGGTACTGCATTATTCTATGGGGACATGAGTAATGTTTTTAATACAAAAATTCCAGTTAACTGACTGGAGTATACCAATCATTAATTCTAAAACATGCTTCTGGCAAATCCCTATCTACCCTGTATTTTCCCCCAAAGCATATATTAGCTGTGAGTAGCATGAACATAAAAGTTGTGGTTACCAAAACTTCTTTTTACTTCCCTCTTTTACTAACTATATTTAATACACAAGGTTTGATCATGAATAGTAAACAGTAAATTCACAAGTCAAGAAAAAATATCTAAGTGTATTTCAAAACAGGATCCTTCATGTTCTTTGAGTAATCCAGGCAGCAAAGTTAGGAATGGTCATGAGTGCTACTGGGTATTAGAGCTAATTATTAATAATATGCACGTACAATTATGCCCTTTCATCCAAGTACCTCAAAGAGCTTTCATAGCATTAATTTGTTATTTCCTCTATCTCTGAAATGCGGCTGATAAGACATTATTATCTCTATTTTACAGTCAAAGAAACTAGGGCATAGAGAGCTTAAGTGACACTGCTAGGGTCATATGGCGAACAACTAACAAAAATGAACTCAAGTTAATTATTCTCATTTCTTGTTCAGTATATCATCCATTATATGAACGTTCAACCCACCTAAATGCTTCTTTATCCTAGGCAAATTGAAAATACTGTATTTAAATAATCCAAGAAGTGAACAAATTTCTCATTTTTGTGTGTTCAAAAATGCTGTTCTACAGAGATACAGAGCTAAAACTAATAATTAGTCTTTGGTTTGCAGGTGTAGTTATTATTTATAGGGCTTTTACTATTCGTGGTTTTCTGAAGCCTCTGCTCAAAATGAACTATTCTATTTCTGACTGATTTATGCTAGGTTAGCATAGCTGTGAGCCAGCGAAAAGCATCTGAGACAGGCTGACTAATGAATTTGAGGTTGTCTCTCATTGCATTCCTATTGCTTACTCTTCTTGAAGTCATCCTCCTTCTAGTTCTCCATTCAGCAAATATTTGTGCAACCCACCATCCTCAATCCTTAGCCTATGGCCAGCTTAACTGTTGTCAATGATTAAATTTAAAATGTCTTATTGGAATGGAACAATTAAAAAATTAAAATATAAACACAGATTTCATTTTTGAGTTAATGATGCTATACTATTAATAGTTACTACTGTTATATCCAGTTTCTGCTAAACCTGACCCTTAGGGTCCTTAGAAGACCATTAAACATTAGAATATTGGTCTATGAATGGGCACATATCACTCATATTGGGTTTTTTAATGCAGCACTTCAGTAATTTTCCCAAGTAAAGGTAGGGAGAAAGAAGTGGTTTTGAAACTGTGCTCAATGACATTAAGACTGTAGTCAGCTTGGATGTGGTAACGTAAACCTGTGGTGTTTCCAACTTTAGCCCAGCTCCTCCCCAGAACTCTAGACCCATATATCAACCACCGTTAGACAGCACCACTCTTACTTCACACATCGGCTCCAAAACTAAACTCATTTTTTCTTGCAAAAATGACTGTCCCTCCCAGGACTCATCCTACCACTTCCTTATCTTACTTGGTAAAATACACCCTTATCCTACTCCTCCCTCAAAGCAAAACAAGGCATCATCATTGCCTCTTCCATTCTCCTATCCTACAGCTGCCCCTAACAACCAAGTATTAGTTGATCTGGCCTCTTGAGTATTTTAGGAATCCATCTCTTTTGGATGTTCACTGCCACTCACACAAGGGTCCTTAAGTTTTCTCTTCTTCTGCAATGACCCCTTGTCCGCTCTCTGCTTGCCCTTCTCCTTCCCACCACCAAGTTATCTATTCTCTACCAACAGAACAGCTTAAATTGTAGTCTGTCCACTCATTACCTCACCAGGGCATAGATGACCCATGATTTGGCTCCTGTTGTCTTCTCCAGTCTCATCTTTTTCAGCAACCTAAGTTTGAACATCAAGACCTGTAATTATTACTCATGCTTCTCAACATATTATTTGTCCCAGTGCTGGATTTCCTTTCTGTTCAGATCTGGATTTGCCATCCCACCCCTATTTTTGTAGTGGAAAAATGCCCATTTATCTTGAAAACGCTAACCTACAGTTAGTAAAGCCATCCATTCATTACTCTGTACACCTTGATATTCCATACTTCCAATCTCAATTATTTGCTTTTATGTCTGTCTGCCCACTAAATTGGACATTCCTTGAATGACTCATGCCAGGAACGTAGTTGGTACTCAATTTGTAGGGAGCAAAGAGATAAACGAATATATAAATGTCAAGACATAAGAATCTGTAGTTGCTAACTTAAATTTACGGATTTAGTGAAACTACCTCTCACAAGCTACCAAATCACAGTGCCACAGGGCCGCACGATGATCTCAGTGCCACACCGACACCCGGCCTGCGGTGTTGCAGGGGGATCCCAGACCCCTCAGAAAGAACTCGCAGACCGTCCGTGGAGGCGAATTCTCCCGGGGGCGAACAGTTAGATGAGGCCCAGGGCGGCCACGAGACCCTCCAGCCAGGGAAGGCGGATGACCCGCCTCCTGGGATTTGGCCCGCGACATGCCACGTCGCCAGCTCCGCTCTGAAAAACCTCCGGCCACGACACCGAGCGGCCTCAATTCTCAGACGCCTAGGGAGCAGGAGCGGACCCTCTAGAAGCAAGATGGCGGCCTCCGCACTCCCCTCCTCCCCAAGAACCCCCTCCTGGTCCCCAAAAGAAAGACAAGGACATCGCGGTGCCGACGCCGAGATCCGGGAACCTCCGCGAGGCCCGCGGCCACTCCCGAGCCCGGGGGAGATGACTTCACCTCGCAGAGCTCAGAAAGCCGGGGGTGGGGCCGCCAGAAAGCGCAGACAGCCCTCAGCACGCAGGGGGCGGAGGCCCGGCAGCCTGCGCCCTCCGAGCCATTGTTCTCCGGCCTGGGCCGGGATCACCCTTCTCTCAGCCCGTGGACAGGAAGTTGCTCCCCAGCCGCCCCGCCCCGCTCCCCAGCGCCCCGGAAGTGATCTGCGGCGGCTGCTGCAGAGCCGCCAGGAGGAGGGTGGATCTCCCCAGAGCGAAGCGTCGGAGTCCTCCTCCTCCTCCTCCAGCCGCCCAAGCTCAGCCGTCACCCGTCAGACTCCTCCTTCGAACGCTCCCGGCGCGGGGCCTCCCAGGCGACAAGGGCCGAGTACCCTCCTGGCGGAGCCACGCAGCCGCGGCTTCCGGAGCCCTCGGGGCGGCGGACTGGCTCGCAGTTCAGGTGAGAGAGAGATGCCGGTTCGGGCCGCGGGGGGAGGCACTGGGGCCACCCGGGCTGTGGCGGGGGTGTGTCCGGGCGGCGGCGGGCCGAGGCCCAGACGCGGGTTCGGGCTGCCGAGATTGCACGTCGCGCGTTCTGCCCTGGGACGAGCTGCGAGATGAGCTCGGCTGGAATCCGGGGCACCGCGTTCGCCGCTGTGGGGCGAGTACGCCCCCGAGAGCGGGCGGCTGCGGTGAGGTCCCCTGCGCCCGGCAGCCCCTCCGAGTTGGCCTCGTCCGAAGGTCACCCCGCACAGCTAGTCCACTGCGCCCAAGTTCCCGCCCGGGCGGTGCCCGCGACCTGGGGCAACCCGCTGCCGCCGCAGTCCCCGCGCCTCACTCCGCCCCTCTCCCCTCCTTCCCTTTCTTTCCACTCCTTGCCTGTATTAGAGCAGCTGCTTTTTAAGCGTTTCCGCCAGGATTTTTTTAATTTGGTGGGTTTTTTTTGGCCAGTTAAAGGAATGGGTTTTTTCAGACTTAAGACTCCCCGCACTGAACTGAATACCTGGCCTTGGGCTCTTGCACAGCTTTAGCCCATATTCAGGTAATCTAGCTTCTAAAATGAGGAAGAGAATGCATTTTGGGGGAGAGGTGTTTCCTCCGTGGTTCGTTTCTGAAAGATTTCCAGAAGTGGAAGATGTGATTGGCATGCTTTAGCCTGGGTATATGTGAGTAAGTAGACGGGGGTGACGGCACACAGTGGTGGCAGTGTTGTTTCAGGATTTAGGGAGAATTAGGGAGTTAACCGGCCTTTGCTTGGAAATCCGAATGTCCAGACTTGTAAGAGCTCATCCAAGTGTCGCTGAGGTAGTGTGTGAAGTCCCGTGCCACGCCCTACGTGTCAAGCTGAAAAGCACCTAATTTACAAATTGTGTGGTGTGTATGGGGAACAACCTTTATAAAACATGTATCATAAGTTAATTTTTCCCGGGAAATTGCAACTTTAATCATGTGCCAGAAACTGGATACCAGATTTCATTAGTAAACTCTTAGAGTATGTTTATTAATGTATTTCCGTGTGCCTTAGCTCACGTTTTTCTGTCTCTAGTAACACAATATTATTCTAAACTGGCTCTTTTGCTGAAATAATACACTATTATAAAATATTATCCGAAAACATCGTTTTTTGACCTTGAATTTCTTCAGGGCAGGAACCGTGTCACTGTTTCTATGCAGTATGCCATGAACATAGAAGCTGTTCACACATTCCTGCAGTGAGTGAATGAATGTATAGGTTATCTCACAGTCACCGTCCAGGAGTTGCTTGTTTTGTTGAGATAGGCTGTTTGTTTTGTTTTACGTTTTTGGCACATACAGACTTTACTTCGGCTTTACATTCTTCAGCAGAGTCAAAGAATTATTTGCCTTCCAAAACTATTCTCCTTCGAAAGGTTAAAATTATATTGAAATTGTGCTGGGCATTATAATAACTTGTATTCCAGTGTTAAATGCTTACTATTTGAGCATATTCAGAGTTAGTAGGAAGAGATTGCCTAGTGATACACAGCAAGTTTATGTTTGCGGTTGTTAACTGTACCCTATCTTAATCAAAAAGAGGAAATTAGGAATTACCACTGTTTGGAAAACATGGTGCATCCCTAAATTGTTTATAGTGGTTCATTGTTCCCGTGAATACATACAATCCTCTGACATCCTGATATGACCTTGGTATGATTTACCAATAGCCTCTTTCATATTTATTTTCCAAGATCCAGATTTTGGTTTCTAGTGTGTTTGCTGAGTGTGCAGTCTATTTTGAAGCAGTACTTCATTATAACGCTTTCTTCACAGGGCTTTCCAAAGGAAAAGGGGGCTAATTATAGAAAACAATTTTGTCTACCATTTGTGAAGGAAGACTTTTGTCTATAATGGTTGGATTATTTTCACATTAGGGAAGTTCAAAGAAGAAGTGCTGATGTTTTCTGTCCTCTCCAAGTATCTCGTGGTGGTCCTGCACTGTTTTTCCGAGCTTAGCTTCTACAGAACATGAATAAAGGTACCAGTGTCACTTCTTGTAGATATGTGTATTAGTGTAATAATGTGATCGTATTCTTTAGTAGATGAGTGGCAAGGACAATTATTTTTTAAATACTGGAATAAGAGGCTGTGAATGTTAATGAGGGAAAAGATCATGTTTTTGAAGAAGACAGTTTATAATTTTCATTGTTTTATAAAACCTTTTAACTTTTAGAGACTAAGGAATTAGAAGCCAGCAATTTCTTATCTCATGAGGTGACATTACCACTATACAGAAGTTAAATTTTTCTTCTTTAATTCAGCAACCCTCTTGGTGATAAGAGTTCTCATCTGTTGATTTGCCTACCAAGCACTGTGATAAGAGCTTAACTTATATTATTTCTAATCTCCACAACACTTCTGCAAGACAAGTAGTTTTCCCAAACTTTATTAAGGTAAATTGAAGTTATTTGCCAGAGGCTAGGCACCTAGCTTGTGTGTAGTAGAGCCTAGATTTGAAAGTAATGATTTCTGAGAGCATTGAAATTGTTAACTGCAGTTAATCCTAAATGGCTGTGGAAAAGGCAATTCTGATTGAGCCGGATACTGGAGCTTCAGGAAAGCAAAGACCCTGATTCCTCTCAGCACTCTTGGACATCAAGTGGCCCTGGCCAGGTGGCCTCAAGCGGCAGCCATTCTTTTCTATCTTCAGTATGCCTACAAATGCAGTGTTATCACCTTCTATGTGTGCCGTGGTGGAAAGTGGTTGGGCATTGTTCCATAGGTGTCCTGGTAAAGTATTTGAACTCAGTTCTGGTGTTTGATTAGTGCTTCTTAAAGAAACAGAATCCTCCCTATTTAAGAGGAATGCCATAAATCTATTTGTAGTAACCTTTTCTTGAAATCACATTGTTTTTTAGTTCTTTCACTAATGGAAATGGGGGAGAGCCTATGGGGGATGGTAGAAAGAATGGTAAAAGAAGGAGATGTGCTTGGTCTGTTTTTAACCATTTGAAACCATAAATCATTTTCTCTGGGTTTAAGATGAGCCTTAAAGGTGGCAGAGGTGTTCTAATGGTCTAACTGCTATTCAGTGCTGGTGGAATTCTCTATCCTCTTTCTAAGCCTGTGTACTTTTAAAAATGCACTTTTAAGTAGAGTTAATTGAAGAATGTGTTCATCTCTGTCTCTTTTTTTTTTAAAGATATACCTTTAAGTACAGAACAGCTGATTATCTGGCCCCCAGAAGTAATAGTTATTCTGTTTTTTCTTGAAGGCATCTTTCTTATTACCTTACCACATTCATAAGGATTTGGGTTGCCATATGGAAAAAAGGAAATTAAAGTTCTATGGGTTTTTAAAAGATGTATGAGTAAATTTTAGATGAGAATTTGCATCTTTGATTTAATTATATGTAAAGGTGATGACTTAGTTTCTCAAAGTCAAGAGAGTAGTCTGTACAAACCAAAAAAGGCATGCTTCCAAAATGATACTCTTCTTAAAGGTCTTCACAGCTAGAGTCCTGTATTAGATGCAGTAGACGTAACACCGACACACATAATATCCTTAAAGTCTGGGATCCAATTTTATTGCTAAATTTACTTTTGAAACTAAATGTCAGGATTTGATAATGTTATTTTGGACAGTAAGACACAGTTAGATTGTAAAATGGCTTATACGTCCAGATTTATTGGGAAGGTGGACAAAGATCCCCAGTTTCCGAAAGATTATGATTGTGGTCATCTAAGCCACAGGATCTGTTTTTTTATGTAGTTGAGAAGCTAGCATAGTACTCTGTTGAAAGTGGAGGTTGCCGCACTGAGTGACTGCACACTGAGTTCAGCTGCCCTGTCTAGATATTCTGGATTACCACAGCAGCTTTCTAGCCTGTGGTTGGAACCCATCTGATCTTTTCCTGTTCTTGCTTAGAACAATGGGGATATTCCTCTGCTTAAAATCTTCTTGTGGCTTTTATGCCCATTAATAAAATTCAAACTCCATTTATCCTTAATCTCATATACAGAACCTTCAAGATGTACTCCTTACCTCTCTTTTTTCCCCCATTTATCTTCCATGTTTTTTATTTTATTTTATTTTTTTCTTACCTAACCCTTTAGCCTTATTTCTTTTCTTGGATGATCTTCCATTCTGGCAATACCCAGCTTCTGGAATGCTAGTGTTTGTTTACTCAGTCCTTCATTTCCTCTTCCTGGAATTCTAGCCTCTCTTCCTTCCCCTAATCTCGGGTATATTCCTACTGGTCCTTCAGAACTCCGTTTAGGTTATACTTCCCCCAAAAATTGTAATTAGATTCTCTCTCTGGATCCCATCCCTCAAAAAAAAAAAAGAAAGAAAAGAAAAAACTTCAAGACTGGGCCAGTTGCTTCTCTTATGTGCCGTCATAACATCTGTTACAGCTCTTACTACACTAGAGAGAGTACTTTCATTGCCTATTGTAAATTTTGTTGACAACAATTCAAACAATCCACAGTAACCTCATAACTATACACATACACCTTCTTTCTCTCTCTTAAAGGCCTCCTTTGGCCATGGTGGCTCACGCCTGTAATTCCAGCACTTGGGGAGGCCAAGGTGGGTGGATCACGAGGTCAGGAGTTTGAGACCAGCCTGGCCAATATGGTGAAACCCCATCTCTACTAAAAATACAAAAAATAGTCGGGTGTGGTGACATGCACCTGTAGTCCCAGCTACTAGGGAGGCTGAGGCAGGAG